CGGCCGCCGCCTCTCACCCGGCCGAGCGAGAGACTGAGCTCCGGGTGAGACCGACCTGTGCCAGCCGCACAGCATCCACCGCCGGCCCCTTCTCCACCCTGCTCCGCTCTCCTCTGCCTCAGCCACTCCTCCCCCTGCCTAGCCGCTCAGCCTCCCTCGCTCGCACACAGAGGACACAGTAAGTCAAGGAGCGGGAGGCTCCCCCTCCCACGTTCGTCTTGATCTGCAAGCAGGTGAACATGTGCCCCTAGCTGTGTGTGCCAGCTGAAGGTTGTGCACCGCCGGCCCCTTCTCCACCCTGCTCCGCTCTCCTCTGCCTCAGCCACTCCTCCCCCTGCCTAGCCGCTCAGCCTCCCTCGCTCGCACACAGAGGACACAGTAAGTCAAGGAGCGGGAGGCTCCCCCTCCCACGTTCGTCTTGATCTGCAAGCAGGTGAACATGTGCCCCTAGCTGTGTGTGCCAGCTGAAGGTTGTGATACAAAGTCACACCAATCCACCCAGGCCTAGCAGCTCAGGGTGTGACACCCAGCTCTACAATACAGAATAAGATTTTCCTGTCGATCAGCCCCTCCTCTTATCTTTCTCTCCCCCCCCCTGTTTCCCCTCCTCTTTATGCAGTGAAGATAAGGCTGGTGAAAGAAGGGGCCGTGAAGACTTTCCCAAACCCAAGAGTTCTGTGGGGTTCAAAATCTTGTCTCTCACCAGGAAAAGTTGATGCAATAAAATCTATCGTTTTACTACCTTCTCTCTCTAATATTCCGGGAGCAACTCAACTGCACATGGCCATAGACCCTGATGTCTTTTCCCAACCTGCAAAAATTTTCCAAGATATTATCCCTTCCCATCCTGACCGGGGAGAAAAAGTCAGAATCTCAAAAATGTTCGTGACCCAAAAACATGAATGAAATTTCAGTTTGCGTCAGTGAAAAGATTTCTACTCAATAATTTTGAAACATTTCATTTTTTTGACAATACCCCTTTAACCATTTTAGTCTAAATTTACTGAAATTTCAAAATAAAAAGTCATTTTGACTCTCTCACTTTTCAATTTGAAAATGTCAAAATAGAATGTTTTAAAATTAACATTTTTTTAAAAAAATCTCGAGATTTCTTGAAACCATTGCTTTGTAAATAACTTCAGCTTTGAGGAATTGTTGGGTTGGGAGTGGAGAGGAGGGATGGACCGACAGCCTCTGAAAAAATTCCCAGGCACCTTGACTGAAAATCTCTGTCCACAGAACAGGTCCAGCACATATGGTGACAACATGAGCCATGCCTCCCGATCAGCATACCTCAGCTCTAACTGGAGAGGTACAAGGTGAAAGAAAATCTTGTCTGCAGCCTATTGGCCTGTCTGTTGAGACTGCCTGTATAATGTTGATTGCCAGGGTGATTTGGAGCTGATACAAGCTATGCACATTTCCCTATTTTTTATATATAGCTACTGGTATTTTGTTTATATATAGCTACTGGTACTTATTTTGTTTGTTACTAAAACAAGCTGAATTTGACATGACAATGTGATTAAGAGGCAGATTAAAAAAGGTATTTTAAAAACAGCTTAGTTCCTATTTAAATTAATGGAAGCGAGACACCTACGTACCTTTAAAGATCTGTCCATAAGATCATTCTAGGTCAATTATTATTGTTATTTAGATATAGGACCTTTTTCATACTGTACTTAGCTATCTTCTCCTTCTGTTTCACTCAGGGATGCCACAGTCCAATGGTCTGTGCTATCACTTTTCAGCAATGGAAGCCATTTTGTTCACAGATGTTCACAGACATGGAATTGTGTTGTGTTGTGTGGAGTCAGATGGAATGGAGAAGCCTGATCACAAAGCACTTTCATTAGACACATCAAGATCTGGGCAGTTATCTATGCTAGGATGAAAAATATAGAAAAAGTATATAATGGGGGTTATCAAACCGAGCTCAATTAAAAAAAATTAAAAAGCTTTGTAAAGTGATTGGATTTCCCTTGTAATATTTGAATATTTTGACAAAATTGTGATTAGTTACAATTGATGTGTGATTTTTAAACTTCATTCAGGTCTTTTGTTTATAAACTCTTTGGGGAGGAAGCTTTTCTAAATGCCTACCACATTGTGTGTGTCATATAAATAAACAAATAAACAAATAAATAAATAATGAAATAAAATTAAATAAAAATAATAATCAGAAATAAAAATTAAACACAGATGCTAAATGGAAAGTGAGAAGACCACAACCAAGCAGCTATACCCATTGCAATAAAACAATTTTTATGTTCTTCAGACAAGTGTTTAAATTCTTATTAGACATCTGACTTTCTGAACATCCAAATAGCCCCCATTAAGGCCAATGAGAGCAGCTACATGGCTAGGCACTTTTGAATATTGGAGGACTTGCTTAAGTGCCTAAATAAGGACTTACGGATTCAAGTTCAGGCAACTATTTTTGAAAATACTGGCAGTCATATCTCCTTGATAATATTTTTTTTCATACCAGTAACGACTGGAATAGTCTATAATCTGTCAAAGCTGCAGATCTACTGAATTTGACATGAAATCAGCCACTTTTTTAAAGTTAGAAAATTGATCCTTGTCTTCAGAAAATTTAGGAATGCAAAATGAGTTTTGTCCTTTCAACTGAGAGAGAACAGATTATTAAGAAGGAATGCAAAATAATGGTCATGTTTTTGTATTTACTGATATTTCTCCATTTTTGCTACATTGGGAGGTAATGTAAACATATTTTATTCCATTTATTTTCTTGATGGGGAAGTTGGAGGGTTTCAGTGGAGTGTTAGAACAAAAAAAGCACTTGTGAAAAATTATCAAATGTTAACCATTTATCTATGAACAGAAATGACTAATATATATTTTCAAAATTTGCCCAGACACAAATCACGGATGGGTGTGAACCAAAATCCCAGATCCCTCAAAAACAGCAAGTTCAGATTCAGAGCCAAACTTTACAGTTTGAAATGCTGACTTTCAATATACATGTTTTCCCAAGAAATTCTGACACCTTTTTATTCCATATTAGGCAATTGTTGTGTGTTTTCAAAATTAAAACATAAATTACATCTAAATGAAATTTAACAGCACTTTAGTTCTATGCTATGAATAGTTCCTAATACAAATTAAAACAATAATAAAATTAGCCGGTCATCTATACACACACAATCTCTTTTTAAATAATTCTTGTACCGCTATGCAGGGAATGGTAAAGGTAAAATGTCACCTGGACTGAGCAAAACAATAAAAAAAAAATTCTTACTGAGTAATATCAAGACCCCAGTCAGCCCCCTCATATTATTCTGGAGTGAGTGTGGAAGAGTTAGAATTAGGGTTGCCAGATGGTTTAACCCAAAATACCGAACCCCTCTCCACCAAAAAAAAACCCAAAAACAATCCACCACCGGGGAAAAAATTCTGTTGAAAAAAAAAAAGGGGAGATCAAAGTTGTTGAGCAAAAAAAAAATTTTAAAATTAAAAAAAACCTTTGAGGCTTTTTGGCTTTGACAGGTTGCTGGCAGTCATTCACCATCTTCTCTTCCTGCTCTGGGCCGGACAGCTCCCCTGCAGAACTAGGTAAGCACCTGGTATTTTTGCTTCCTGGCCGGGAAAAAAAAAAACAGAAAATACCAGACATTTTAGGTGTCTAGTATTTTCTGACTTTTTTACTGGACAGGAGGCGAAAATACCGGACTGTCTGGGTCAATACCGAACACCAGGCAACCCTAGTCAGAATGTAGGGGGTCATTTGGAAATGCCAATACTCATCCCACTCACATTTTCTGATCTACTAAATCTTCTAGTTTGTGTGGGACTCTTGGGCTAGCTTAATTAGCCTGAATGGGAACTCCACCCAGACAGACAGTAGGGAGAAATTCAAAAAGCAGGATGTGGGGAGTCAGAAATGGAGGGATAAGATGGGAGAGCTGAATGCAGAGAGGGGGAGGATTTTGAAGAAGGGAGTTGAGACAGGAAGACTATCACTTGTCTCCAATGAATGGAGGATTCTCTGAAGCTGATATGTGAGTACTTTGGCCAAGGGTGTGGAACTTCAGGGCCGGGAGCTGGATGCAGCCCCTGGCTTGCCTGACCGGCCCCTGAGGTTCGGGATCTCCTCCTAGCATTGGGGAGCCTCTGGTGGTGCTCCAGCCCTGCTGCTGCCCCCCGTGGTACTGGAGCACACAAAATCTGTTCTGCTGCGCCTCGGAATTTGGAGAGTGTATTTTTCCTTTTCAGTCAGGGGCCACAGTGAGATTTTTTTTACTTGTGTGTGGCCCCCAAATGATTTTTCTGTGAACCCCAAAAAAGGTTCCCTACCCTGACTTAGGCCCACGGTTTGTATAAGCTGTCATAGTGAAAAAGAAGCCATGAAGGACACTGGGACTTCAAAAACTACTGGATACAAGACTGAATGCTCATGTAATGACCCAATGTACATAGGTCCTGAACAGGGTCAGTCCTAACCAATTGGTAGCCCCGGGATACCGACCAGCTTGCCTGTAGGGTTGCCCGATGCTTAAAAAAAAAAATACAGGACAAAAATGTGTCAAGCCAAAAAAAAAAAAACTCCAGGGAAAATTTGTCAAGAAAAAAGGGTCGGGGAGTGACTAGGGAAACCTGGGGGGAGGATTTGGGACATTGGGCCAAAATGGGATTGCGGCCCTTGTCCTGAAAGATAAGGTGGAATCATGCAGGTCCCATAAATTGACCAGAAAGACACACCTGAAAAAATCTTATACCCACATTATCCAATACGTTATGGAAAAGAAAAGTCCTAGCACAGTGTGAACAAAAGTAATATACATGTACTATATTTCTAGATTTGTAAAAATTCTGCTTCTTATTAACCTCACAAATTACAAACCAGAAAAAAAAGCTAAACCAGTAACTATATGACTCAGAAGACAAATATGTCAGCTAACAGCCTAAATACACTGAATCAAATTATCATGCTCTGACATACCTACAACAAAATTGGGCAACATAATTAGAATAATACTCTGAAGAAAAATATAATTAAAATAAATTCTACATTTTTAGTTCTAGTATGATATGTCAGAACATACATTGAGAAAATATTTTAAAAGAGATTGAAAATAAAATACACTCTGATTTGAGTCTGACAGGACATTTTTGTTCTTAAGTGAGAAGACAAGAAATAACTCACAAGTAGTCTGACCTTCAGTTTGCTAAATCATGATGATATTATATCACATATCTGCATCACCAGCATGTGCTGTGAAAGTTCCCCTCCCCTCATGCTTTAAGAAAATTGGTTTGTGAATATAAATGTGCATAACTCGGAGATGCTTTAGACAAAACACCTCATGTAACCTTATCAATTTTAATGCTACAATCTGCTGGATGTAAACATCCTATTTTGGTGCATGTATCATTCTTGTATGGAAAGTTTTAAATGTGAAGTGTCAGTCTGTTTATAGTTTTAAGTATGTTAATGAGAGTCACTACTGGTGCCCCAGAAGCCTAATAACTAGGTGATCAACTCAACAACTTGTAAACAACTTGTTTGTCCTGTAAGTCCAGAAGGTGATTGATCTGGAGAGACATGTGACCATACACCTGGTTCTGAAATCCATTTTGAACCTGGTATTTTTCCACGAAAGAAGGATGTAAAACAAAGTATTTCAGCCCCAAGCGAGAGTCTATTTAAGCAAGGAAGTTATCAGCCCTTGGTTTTGGCTGGCCTGGAGAAGCTGCTTGGCACACCCTAATAGGGTACAAAAAACTTGAAGGGGGGCTAGAAGCCCAAGTCAGAGCAAAAGAGTTTGTCTCTGACTTGAAGATTTTGCCAGAAATAAGAACAGGGTAAGAATCTGCATGTAATAAGTTTCTTAGTGAATTAGAACTATCTATGCATTTTCTTTTCATTTTAATTTAGTAACTTACTTTGATCTATTTTTACTTGCAACCACTTATATCTTACTGTTTGTACTTAATAAAAAATACTTTTGTTTACTATTAGGGCCAGTAAAAATAATTGTTGTTTAGGGGGCGCAATCACTGTGCATATATCTTTCATTGACAAAGGGAACTTACCTGATGAGCTTTCACTGTGTAAAACTTCTACACAAAGAGAGATGGATTTACAGTAAAACCTGTGTTATCTGGTACACTCGGGATTAGGGCGTTATGGTTATTTAAAAATTCCAGTTATCTGAGGGTCCAATTTTGGAGCTGCGACCCCTAGACCGCAGGGGCCGCCAGCTGCCTGGCCCAGCTCCCAGCCAGCTGGATCATAGTGGCATGCCATGTGGCTATGCCCAGCCCCCGGCTGGCCGGATCAAAGTGCCACACCAAGCCCCCAGTCAGCCGGACCAAAGTGCCGTGACCCCTGAGGGAAAAATGTGCCGGTTTCTAAAGTTTTCCGGATAGTTAAGTGCCAGATAGCGCGGGTTATACTGTACCTAGTCCATAACCCACAAGTCTGACAGAGGCTCTCTCCATGTCCTTTGGTCGCATGGGGAGGTTTGTTTCATTTGCTGGTTGGTTTCCTTTATACTGAGCCCTAGATACTGCATACTGCATCCCACCCAGGGCTGACGTGGTTCAGTGTCTGCATTGTTCTACAGGGGGAGTGGTAACCACAATGCTATACCTTGTCAGGGAGTGACCAGATTATCTACCATAGCAGGACAGGGTGATGGGGAGCCCCAGACAGCAAGACGACGGGGGTCAGTGGCATGGTCAGAACACTGGGGAACAAATCCAAGGGGACTTCTGTGACCGCACCCTCCCACATGTGTAAATATAGATAAGAAAAAAAGAGAAAGGATTTGCTAAATTTAGTTTACTGTGCCAGGTGTAGACACCAGCTGAAGTCATTCAAAAGACAGAAACCAATGAAGGAGGATGATTTATTTCTAGAAAGAGTCAAGTGGTGATGCTTATTAGAATTTTTTTTAATATTTTTATTTTGCCCTCCTCTTTTGTTGTTACACAGTTTAGACTTTGCAAGGAAAAGCGTGTCTTTTGTGCATGAAGAGAAGGGAGGAGGGAACGAAGTAAAAAAACCTGAATAGCAGCGTCTAGAAGTACTGTGGCAGCAAATTCTGAAGCTGGAAGATGCTGATGAGGGAGGTTACCATGACTACAAAAGCGGCATATTTGAATAAAAATTGTTGTTAAGTCTTTTAAATGCTAATTGTAATTGAGGAATGGGTGACATCTAAAATTGCAAACACTTTTCCAGTGTTACAACTTATGCTTAGCGTAATGAAAGGACTAAAAAAGGATGACAAATGTAAGCATTGTGAAGTTAAACAGAAAGAAGTATAGTGATCACATCTTTAAAGCATTTTAAATTATTTACTTGTTCAAAATAATAAATTAGTTGGGTACCTGTTAAATGTAAGCAAAAAAGCATATGAGATAGAAAGGTCATATATATTAACTTGTAATTATATTCTAGGATGGTGTACAAAAAAAGTTAAGTTTTAATAATCTAATCTAAAATCATTGCTACTTAAAAGCAGTTTTCAATAGACTACATGCTAGAGACTTAAATTTTACACTTCTAGCTATGGAATGAAACTCTTCCATCTAGAGATCCTATGATGTTTCATAAACACTGAGTAAATCTCATCATGCTCTACAAATTACTTGTAGTCTATTGGTGGGGAAACCAGGATGAAAAGATATGAAGTGACATACCACGTCATTGTCAGGGTGAAGACTAGAATCCAGAGCTCCTTAAGGGCAGTCCTGTACTCTTACTACTTGACAACTTTGCCTTCATGGCAGCAGCAGCAGGATAAAACTAGAAGTATTTATCAACAAGTTGCATTTAATTGTGGGTTGTACATATTAAGAAAAATACAGTTTTTAACATTACACACTATCACCCCATGAGCAAGAGAACATCAGACCACAGATCATCTAGGTGGGGTGAAGTTTTGTGGGTGCTGCTATACATTTTAGTATTCTCAACTGCAAGTGGTGAAAAATTCCTTCTACTATCTTTACCTTGTAACTTCAAACATTCCTTTCAGATGAGGACCTAGGAACTGTAATACATGTTATCAATGCTTTCAAGTTAGACTGTTTTAATTCACTCTCAATTCTCTAGTGAAAGACCATGAAGGGTATGTCTACAGCAAAAAAACTTGTGCCATCTCACTTGGGTTAAGGAGGAAGGGTCTGAGAGCTGAGGTTCCTTCCCAAGCCTATATAGCTACGGTATACGGTAGTGGCTCTTAAATGGCTATTTTGCCCCAGCCTAAGTCAGCTGGCACATGCCAGCTGTGTCCAGTTGGGTGTACCATAAGTGGCTTGCAGATTTGGACTATATTTTGAACTCTGTGTTGAAGAGAATGGGGTATCAATAAAGTTTGCAAACCGATGTATTCACAATGGCCTTCATTGTTTATGAGGGAACTTGCTACTGTTTGCCCGATCCACAGGTGATGCAAAGCAATGTAGATCCATATCCTGAGTCTTCAACCCTTTTAAAGCCACATAATGAGCAGAATCTTCTGACAAGGATGCCATTGTGACTATGTGAGTGTAAATGTCATGGTATTTCTCATGTTCTATGTACTTTAATTTTAAGTACAGTGGTCGCTACAACTGAGCAAATGCTGCAGAAAAAAATGCTTTGCAAATTTTAATTCACATTTATAAACTAGAAGATTTACCCAGTGTTGTTCAGGTCCTTAATTTTTGTTGTTTGGAAAATAAAAAGAAAACGTACATGCTTCATTTAAATCATTGTTCTGGGGATGAGGAGTTCAGTATTCAGGCTGATCTAGGGACAGAAGCCTCCTCCAGCCCTCTCTCACTGCAACAGCTTGGGGCCAAGTGAGAAGCACCTCTCCATGGCTGCTGCAGCTCCAAAGGATGCAGCTCGGGGGAAGGGGGGGAGCATGTCCTTCAGTTGGGGCAGGTTCAAGTTCATCTGCCTCCTGTGATCTCCAGCCACAGTGAAGAATGCAGCAAACTGCACTTTCCCCTTGATTCCTGATGAAGGGGAACAGCCAGCAATGTTCCCATACAAATAAGGTGGGGGGTACTTCATACCCTCAATCAGGGGAACAGCCAGCAATGTTCCCGTACAAATAAGATGGGGGGTACTTCATACCCTCAATGCACGCTAAAGAGCATGTGGGGGGTGGAAGGCTCAGGTCTGTGGCAATTCCATGGGGGAGGAGGAAGGGGAGTCCCCAGTCTGCCCCTTTCACTTGCCTGCTGATTCTGTCACTTTTCTATATGGTTTTGAGAAGTAATCCCATTCCAGACACATCCCCATTTTCATGGAACAACTAATCCCATACCTTGATTTAAGTTATAAGAAGAAGCTGTATACTGAACTTGGTGGTCCTAGCTCTTACCCTTTAGGAGGTGTTCTTGAACAGACAGACAGACACACAGACTGACAAACTCTCTCAGATATTTAGTAGATTTGATTTAACTGTGTTTGAGCTCCTTTTCTGTTTGATTTCAGTGAGCATTTAAACAAACTTTTTAAATATCTTCAGGAGTAGTTGCTGTTTTTATGGATAAATTGAAATACTCTTAACAATAGCTCGGTTATTTTGCATTTTATTTCATTCAGAAGTCTTGGTTGGAACCCTTCTATTTCTGTTGCTCACAACCTTAAAAAAATTATCAGGCATAATAGTTGCTACTGTGAAATACTAACACTAGTAAATTCTATGCTTAGTGAGAAGTATTTACAAGGTCAGACCCGGAGCTAATACTGATCAAATGACAAGCTGTCATTAGAAGGTGGATCCAACTTGTCCAAAAGCTCAGATGCATTAGTCATTTTCTACTATTATAAAGCCCACCACAACAAGTTTATTAGATTAAGGGCAATTTATGAAGGCAGAATGTAATAACCTGAGTTGGACTTTTGCCAGAGATGAAAGTTACTCATGTGATCTTTAATGATCAGGATCTCTGTGTTGTGTCATTTATAAATGTCAATTGTAGCAGCCCAATTCCTATTAATACCAGGTCTGGATGTTAGCTTGGTACTGACTCAGAGGAAAAATTGCCACTTCCTGAATCTTCACCTCCACTTTCTGCCCTCAGAAATCTCCCTTTTAAGCACTGACTTTGCTCAATGCTGTTTTGCTTGAGATCGGATATCATTACATCTTGACACAGTATGAGTGAAGGGCACCAGTCTAAGGAGACAATATTGCCAGTAACACAATGGAGGAAAAGAACTGGCAGATGTATTGAGGAAAATATACAGAACCCAAGTCAATTTCAGTATTTCAAAATGTATTCAGTATTTCTTGGCATAAAGAACAACACTCAGAATTTTCTTAAGGTCCTTAAAGGATAATTGACTATACATGGATTTAAGAAGCTTTACAACCTTTCATTTGAATTCCTTGCAATTCAACTGAGACCTTGATCTTACTCCCATTGAAGTATGTTAGTGATTCCTTTGACTCAGTTGCTGCTGAAATGAGCCATTGCATGGGATAAATTAATGTTTTTTATTTGTGAATTTGAAAACATTTTTCTTTATCTCTGAAGAATGTATAGGAGACAAAGGATTAGAAATTGTTAATATAAAGAATTTGACAAAATACAAAAAGGCTAAAGAGTTACACTGAGCTTAGTTTTGTCTTAATGCCAAAAATTAGTGAAGTATATCATCAGGTTTCTTCTGCAATTTTATTTGCTTTTAAAAATTATTTATTCATTTGATTTTGGCTATCCCTTTTTGTGTACTCAACTGTTTATGCCAAGGATGGGCGAAAGGCACTCAGCTGTCTGGATCCAGCCTGCCTAAGGCTTTGCTCTGGCCCGCGCATCTGTTCCAGGCCCCTCCCCCTAGTTCATTGACAGAGTCATGGGGAAGGCACAAACCCTTTAAATAGAAGCAGTTGAAAAGGCTTGAGTGGCTCGGGCTCCCAGACAACATGCTAGCACTGCTGGAGCTGTGAGCCCTTTCAACTGTTTCTATTTAAAGGGCTGCAACAACCTAGTAAGATCCCCAAACAATCTTTGGACATTGCTGCATTTGAGAGATGGAAGCTCCATCTTCTTGCTAAAGGAAGAATCGAAAGGAAAGCCAGTGTTTCCTCACCCTTACACAGCAATAATCCACAGAGGGGAGAATTTTGGCCCTTATTTAAGAAACATGAACCTCTAAAATATATAATATGGTGCATATCCTTTTAAATAAAACATTATTGCTCCATGATGATTATTAGTGAAGTGATTTGCAGGGCAGAAGTAGTATGCTAACTTACACTCACATAATTATATACTTTGTCAGCAATCAGTTGGCATATCATCAGATATTTTTGCTAGAATAGTGGATGGACACCAGAATAGATGGCAGTTCTACTGGTATCTGGAAAGATAATGGAAGTGGATTAACAACTATAGAGTGTGCTAATAATTTGCGTCATGCAGATTGCATATCTTATTTTGAGTTTAGGGTGCTGTGTAGACACACCCTTAGTCTTTAAAGGTACGTCTACACTACAGCACTAATTCGAACTAACTTAGTTCGAATTAGTTAATTCGAACTAAGCTAATTCGAACTAACGCATCTAGAACTAAAAACTAGTTCGAATTAGCGTTTTGCTAATTCGAACTAGCATGTCCACATTAAGTGGACCCTGAACCGGGGTTAAGGATGGCCGGAAGCAGTGCCGGCAGGGCATCAGATGAGGACTTAGAGCGTGGAGCTGCTGTCTCAGGCTAGCCGAGGGCTGTGCTTAAAGGGTCCCGACCCCCACCCCGGACAGACAGTTCTCAGGGGTGCCCTGCTTGAAAACCAGTCCTGGCTTGGAGTGCCCTGAGTGCCCACACTGGGCACATCACAGCACTCGGCCATCAGACCGGCTGCACTTGCCGCAGGCTGCCATCTGGGGAGAGGGAGCAATTGGGGGGCTGCAGGAGAGCTTCCACCCCCAGAAGCCCGCAGAGCCAGCCCAGTCCTCCCCATCGGGGGCTCGTACCCCATTCCTCCCTCACCTCCTTCCACTTACCCTTCCCTAGCCCCCCTTCTTATTGATGTACAAAATAAAGATAACGTTTCTTCCAACATTGACTCTGTCTTTATTGAAAAAAACTGGGGGAGACTGGGAAAAGGAGGTGGGAGAAGGGAAGAGAAAGGCTGGGAGAGGGGAGGGCAACTAACATGATCAGGGGTTGGGAACAGGTCCCAGATGAAGAAAGGCTACAGAGACTGGGACTGTTCAGCTTAGAAAAGAGGAGACGGAGAGGGGACAGGATAGAGGTCTCTAAAAGCAGGGGTTGGGTGGAGAGGGTGCATTCAGAAAAGTTCTTCCTGAGTTCCCATAAAGAAGGACTAGAGGACACCAAAGGAAAGGAATGGGTAGCAGGCTTCAAACTAGTAAGAGAAAGTTGTTCTTCTTCACAAAGCAAATAGTTAACCTGCGGAACTCCTTGCTGCAGGAGGCTGTGAAGGCTACAACTAGAACAGAGTTGAAAGGGAAGTGAGATCAAGTCATGGAGGTTGGGTCCATGGAGTAGTCTTAGCCAGGGGGTAGGAGTGGTGTCCCTGCCCAAAGTTTGTGGAAGGCTGGAGAGGGATGGCACGAGACAAATGGATTGGTCACTGTCTTCAGTCCATCCCCTCCGGGGTCCCTAGGGTTGGCCTCTGTCGGCAGACAGGCTACTGGGCTAGATGGACCTTTGGTCTGACCCAGGACGGCCATTGTAAGCTCAGGGCTCAGTGTCGGGGGTCTCAGTGGACCCCCTTGATTTTCATGCACACCTGCTCCTGGGTGGCCAGGCTGGCAGCTCTCCTGCCCTAGACGGCCACTTTCCTGTGCCTAGTGCGGAGATCGTGGACGAGGTCCACGATGTCC